TATGACTTTTTGTGGTAATGAAATAAAAATTAGCATAAACTCATTTCCATTTGTTAATTTATGTAAATGTAAACACTAAACAGTTAATAAAATGGAAATTTTATACAGCAGTTCACTCTATTTTTATTTTTTATTTTACTGCATTTATCAGGATACTGACTGAGACAGTTACTCCACATTAGAACCGTGATACATGTTCAAAGACTTTTCCTTTTTTTTTTCCTATTTTTATTTTATCTCTTTCAATATTTTATAGTGATTTGGTATCCAGTGATTTAGGGCAAAATTTTTGTTAAGTTATCCATTTAGCATTTCTCTTGAATATTTTAGTGAAGCATAGTATTGCTTATGCAAAGACAGTTACTCCACATTAGAACCGTGATACATGTTCAAAGATGATGCTCTTTTCCATTAAATTGTGTAATCAGATATTCATGGAAAAGAAATCAAACAAAGCTTTCCCAAGCACTTTTGAGTAATACTCTCATAGAGTCTTAGAGGCTGATTTATATTATTTTCTAGCATGTTTAATAGTTAAGAGCACATCAGCAAGAGAGCTCTTGGCAGTAAAAGGGCATAACTTATTTGACTGATTTTCTCTCCAGTATGATCGATTTTTACTTAGAATGATACTTTAATTTCACAGTTATTTTTTATTTTAAAGTTTTAATATGGAGAAAGTAAATTTGTGTAATAATAAATTCAGTTGCAATTTGCCATTAATTCGACACAGATTCAAAATAACTTAAATGACCTTTAGGAAGATTCATAATTAAAAGGATGTTATGAAGCTCTCTGACATGCCATTCATTTCTGTTTGCATATGCCAAAATCTTTCATTTATACATAAAAGTTTAAAATTAATTATCATGCTTCATAGAATAGGACTGTATATTTCTCTTAGATCTCTTTACTTGCTTAGACTTCCACAATTCCATTATTAAGGTCCAGGAAAATGGCTATGATTAGCTTAGTTTTATAAAGTATATACTCTTCACATTCAAACACAATACTATCCAATATAACATATTGATTATTCATCATTCTGTAAAAAATACATAACCAAAGACACAATTATTTCTAAATCCTAACAAATTCAACCAGTGTATTAGAAAAGTACTGTTGGAAATTCTAGGACTCCAAGAAAGTTGTATTAGTCTATTTTCTGATTGCTACATCAATTTATCTAAGGATGAGTACTTTATAAAGAAGAGTGGGGCTGGAGAGATGGCTCAGTGGTTAAGAACACTGGTTGTTCTTGCAGGAGACCTGGGTTCAAATCCCAGCACCTACATGCCAGCTAACAAATGTCTGTAACTCCAATCCCAGGGGATACAACAGCCTCTTCTGACCTCCGAGGGCATTGCACAACACGGGTACACTTACATGCAGGCAATACATGCATACACATAAAATAAAAATAAACAAATAAAATTTAAAAAGAAAAGAAAAGAGTTTTATTAAGTTCATGGTTTTGGAGATTCAAAGTGTTAGCACATGGAGCAGCTTGGCTTTCTCAAAGAACCTTGGGTGACCTGTCAGCCTGTGTTGAAGGCACTGTCATGGTAGAAGTGCTTTCAAGAAGGAGAAATCAAATGTTGAGGCAGAATTCAGAGAATGGCTCAAAATTCAGGCTTTACATTTTAGAATAACTTGCTCTCTGAAAAACTAAGGGTCCTATGAAAATTATATAAATTGTTTCCAAGAATGGGTCCTCCAGTCACTTGACTTCCACTAGTGCCCATTACATAAAGGTCCAACACCTCTCAACATTGCTAAAGAGTAGAACAAGTTATACTCAAACCATGGCAAAATTATTGTTCAGAACATATTTGAAGGGGGTTTAGTACTTAAAGTTCTTGTCATATATATCATGTGCATATCTGTTAAAACTTTTTATTAATTCTGCCTCTTAAATATGCTTTACCTTCTTTTTGTGCAACATTTTATTATATTATACAGACATCTATCCATCTCAGTGGTATCATCTATCTATCTATCTATCTATCTATCTATCTACCAATCTATCGTCTATCATCTGTCTGTCTATCTGGTCTAAAACATAGATCCCAAACCCAAGATGTTTATTTGGAATATTACATATGTAAGCAACAGAAAAGCATGTCAGGTTACATGTCAGTGTATACTGACCCCATAAGAAAAATCATTTGAGGTTTTCAACAGTTATTTATAATTCATATTCTGAGAACATGCCATAATTATCAAGGACTGATGATTATAGATGTTAACAGTAGGGCTGAAGAACCAATTAGAAAATAGTTTGGAAATTTGGAGATGAGAATACAGTCTCCATATTCTTAATGTTATATCTGTATCTTGGATCAGTATGTAATAATTTTCAAATGTGAGACAACCATTGTACATTAGTCAGTATTCTTTAGAGAGGAGAACTAATGAAGGGGTCAGTGGAGGACGAGGAGGAGAGGGAGAGAGAAAGATAGAGATATTAGAAACGTAAAGTTAATTTGCATGATTATAGAGGCTGGTCAGTCTTCAAATCTGCACAAGGAAACTGAAGATGCACAAGACCTGATGGGGTAGTTCCACTTTGACTATCATCAAACATGAGACCCAGGAAGAGTCGACATTTCAGTTCAAACCAGGAGACACAATGATGACTGACAAAGGTTCAGCACTCTATATCAACTGATTATATGCATCACATTGAATTATGACAATCGGTTTTACTAAGCCTATTAATGTAAATATTAAACTCACCTAAAACACCATCACAGAAACAGCCAAATGCATGTGGTGTCTAATATCTAGGCATTTCATAACCAAGTCAATTTGAATTAAATTAAGAATAACTACAAAAGCAATAAAAGAAAGGGAAAGATAAATTAGATTTATAGTCAACTGGAGATAGATAAAACCAAAACTTAAAATACTTCATTTAAGGGGTTGGAGAGATGGTTCGGCAGTTGCTCTTGCAGAGGATCTAGGTTCTTATTCTTAGCACCCACATGGCGGCTAACAATCATCCATAACTCCAGTTCCAGGGGAATCCGAAGATTTCATCTGACCTCCTTGGGCATTGCTTGACACAGGTGCACTTGCGTCCATACAGGCAATGCACTCATACACATAAACTAGAAATAATAAATAAAATATTTTAAAAGAGTTTATTTTATTCTCTACTTACTTTTTAAAGACTTTCCACATTGGTGTTGGTTGAAACTTGGGAATATGTTCAGCCTCTCCATATTATATGACCACATTTAAATGTAAAGATCTAAAGTGGCTCCTCATTGTCACACATCTCAGTAGCCTTTAAATGAAGGAAACCGATTGTGGTACTTGGTAACAGTCTCTGACTGGTACAAAATGAGCTTCTTTGATGTGTGGTGACTGGGATATTTGTCTATATATATAAGGATACAACTGATTGCTGCTAGATGAAGTAGAACTGATCTTCCTAAAACAAGAGGCTCTAGATAGGCTGACTAGACTCAGTGGACAGACTTGCACTGGGGAAAAGCTGGGGACAGTAACAACCCAGTGGGCCTGAACATGGATGGCAGAGTATATCGGCTCCAGTGGATGGGGGGGGGGGGTAAGGGGGGGGGCCGGGGGGGGAGGGGGAGAAAAAAGAATTAAGAAAGGAGAAGAATAGTAGAAAACAAGTGTTAACAAGGGTGATATGGGGATGGGGGGGGGGGTTAAGGGAGAGTGCCAGTGGGGACAGGGGTATAAAGATGATTAAGAATATTTGAGGTGGTCTGTATGAAATACACACAAAAAAAATGAAGGAAACCCCGAACCTCACATATTCAATATGTATTTAAAAGACAGGATAGGATAAGATTCTCCATTATCAATATGAGTGCATGATGTGAGAACTGGATATTTTTTCAAAATAAATTGTGAAATGGTGTTTGCCTGAGTTAGAAACATTTACCCTGGCATGAAACGGTCCTTCTCAAGCAGGTATCTAAATATTTAGGATATACTATTGAACAATGTGGTGATTTTGAGTTAATTTGAAACAGGCCCTGATGCATCCTTTCATAGGGCTTCTGAACAAAGAAAACAGACAGTAAACATTGCCTGTGAAAGTAAAGGGAATGATAAAGAGGTATTTACATAGGCAAGGAGCCAGAATGGTCTATTCATTTTCAAGCTGGGATCAGTGAAAGAAAGCCTCTCTTTCAAGCTAACTCAGAAAAGCATTTTTTGTTTTTGTACGTAAGCTTACTTTAGCTATTGATCCTACAGCAGTTAATGGGATGTGTATATGTATATGGGTGAAGAGAGACATATGGGGGTGTGTAGTCATGGTTAAACAATATGATTTTATGATTCATTTTTATAGCTCATGTTTTCAAGTGAAATGTTATACAAAAATGTTCACACATTTAGAAGAGCTTCACATATAATAAGATTTGCACAAGGGCAAGGAGGGTAAGATGTTCTTCTTTAATGATCTATAATCAAAATTTCCATAAGAAGAATCCCCAAATAGATCATAATGAATTCCCTGTCTGAAATTCTTCAGGGACAAATTGGCACATTTTTAGAAGTGGACTACTCAGGAATGAATAAGACGTGGGGCGGGGCGCTGTCCAGAAGGAAATGACTTTAAACACATTTTGTTTTTACTAACTTGCCTGGTTTAAGTTGCAGCTATTGCACTTAGGCATAAAAGAAGCTGAGTTTAGATATTTACAAGTCTAGGCGGGAGGACTGTGAGCTTGCAAATCTAGCATCTGGAGGGTGCTATGGTAGCTGCTTTCCTGTGCTAAGCTGATTTACTTGTTTAAGGTCTGACCTCATCATCCTGTCAGTATGGGTTCCCACCTACACTATTAGCGGCAGCTTTCTGCTTCAGCTGGGCTGAAGCATTCACAGTGTATCATAGGCAGAGGGGGAGGGGAGAGCAAGCAAGAAAGATTGCTCTCTCTCTCTCTCTCTCTCTCTCTCTCTCTCTCTCTCTCTGCACTTGTGCTTTTGTTAGTTCTACAGAAGAGGCAGAGAAACAAGAGATAACAAAGGCTCCGTTTCCTTTCTGTTAGAGAAGGCTTTTGTCTTTCATCCTGCAACAATGTCCGTTTCTGGCAAGAAAGAGTTTGATGTGAAACAGATCCTGAGGCTACGCTGGAGATGGTTTAGTCACCCTTCTCAAGGTTCGCCTAACACTGGAAGCTGCCTTCAGCAGGAAGGATATGAGCATAGAGGGACCCCGGTTCAGGGCAGGTTGAAGAACCATTCTCGGGACAGAAACGGACTGAAGAAAGGCAACAGTCCTGTCCACCACAATATACTGACACCGGTGCCAGGACCAGCCCCTACTCATCAAAGAGTCCTTCAGAATTGGCACCAACAAAACCTGATAGCACATCTTCAAGCAAATGAAGACACTCCTAAAGCCGGTCCAGAAGAGAATTTGCTCAAAGAAGCTCGTGAGAGGCACCCACAAGATCTGGAGATGATGGCTGATGACAACATAGAAGATTCTAGAGCACGGTAGGAGTTTTGAGTTATATAAGTAAAAGCCTTAACCTACATTAAGTTTTTGTCTAGAACTCTCATTTAGTGCTAACTAGCAAGTGTTATAATAGTCTGTGAGTTTGTTTGCAGCCAATGAGGACCTCCAAGAAACCCCTGCCAATAAGTCTATGAAGGAACACTAATCACACATATGTTTTGATAAATAATAGGAACTTCTTTTTTTCTGATGGTGGGTTTACTTCTAATGCCTTTTCACTACATTCAGAATTCTCTTTCAGTTCTAAGATATATTTTATAATTTTTACCTCTGTAAATATCTTTAATCTTTAGATATTCAAGTAGTGACGATTGTTTTGAGAAGTGGAGCTGGGGTAACTTTGACAATTAAAAGCCGCAACTGCTCAGCATATCCTGATCTGTAGCTTAGTTCATACTAATGGTTTTCAAACTATTTCTTTTTAGTGAGAATATGGAACTTTACTTAGCAGTTAAGATTCCCTTAAACTGGCATTACTTTCACATTTAGTTTGCAATTGTGGAAAAATTATTAACAAAATAACAAGAAGCTGTTTACTTTAGCAGGATCTTAAAGTAGGAAGTGGAGCTTGTTAATTATTTTAGGACATTAAATGGACTAGGAAAACATAATATGTATTTGGGGTATAATTTATAAGACACGTGATTTTATCCTAACTTTTGTATCCATCAGTGAAGTTTGAATGGGAGAAAATTTTGTACAATTCTCTAGTACTTCTTAATATAACTTAACCTAGAATTTCTTTGCTTGGTTTTGGTTTGTTTGCTTGTTTTGCTAACAGAAATTTTGATATTATTAAAATGATTAGTAGTAACTGATTTTTCCATGAAATTAAATATTAGAAGTGCTGTAAGGTAAATGTTTTGGTGTGTTGAAAATCTCATAATAATTTAGCATAGAAATATATTAGGAAATCTAAATGTTTGATGTGTTCTGATCAAAGACTGGGATATGTCTCCTTATGTAAGTTTGTTAGGTATATTTAGCAAACAGTATTTGTTTCCATAAACTCAAAGTAAAATATCAAAAGAAAAAGCCAGAAAGCAACACTGTGTTAAAAGTTAAACCGGTTTTCCAAAATGACAGGTTTATAGGAACTCAGTCTTGTTGAAATGCAAATATAAAAAGAATTTGTGAAATGACTTTATGTATGATATTAGACTGTCTATAATATAAACTTTTTAAGATATTAAATATTTATGTGTGAGTATATCTGTATATTTTTTCTTTACCTAAGGAAAGCTGTGTAACTGTTAGTATTGAATATTTTATTTGATTAAACTAAAAGAAATTTGAATAATATGGTATCAATATTTTAAGTTTGAAGCACTTTCCCTTCATCTATCATCACAGAACTATTTAACTACTGGACTTGGAAGTTGACAGATGTATTTAACTTTGCTATATACAAATTTAAATTACACACTGTGAATCACTAAAGAAATTCTTTGGGTGTCTGTAACTAAAAATGAGTATAATAGAAATTACTGCAAATTAGATGCTAAAAATTGATGGACAGAATTTTGAGTGTAATGCAGCACTTGTTTATTTCTCTTATGATTTTGACATTCTTTATGTTACAAGGAAACTGTCTCATAATTATCCTATGATTTCAAAGGAATGTTAATATTTTCTGAAAATAAACACAGGAAGTAATTACAAATGTACAGAGTATCTAGGCAGAAGGGAAGCACTAAATTGAAGTATTATTGAAGCATTCATTGAAGTATTATGACTTATTACCATCTCATTACCTATTTTAAATTTTCATGCTTTGTTTCAAGATAGTTCAAGAAAGAGCTTTTTGGCTTTTGCTTCTCTAATTCTCTATTCTTTACAAAGACTGCAGAATAAGAGGAAAATTGTGATTAATTGGCATGAGCGTGTCAGGCTCTCAATACAACCATTTTAATTAAAAATAAAATACGGTAAATTAAAATAAAATAAAAACAGTCATCTATGGAAAACCATCAGACTAGTACAAGCAGCCTATGATACCTCTGCAAAACAATGCTCTATAAGCCATTCCACTTCCTGTAAATATTATAAGAATTGAGTAGAAAATGATCTCATATACATATATGCAACATAACAGGCTAACTTAAATTAGTTCTGCAAGATATTAAAGCCAATGTTTTAAAACTATATTAATGTGTTGGTTTGAGAATTAAAATATTCAAATATCTCCCTATAAGTTTGAATAACAAGTACATAGCATGTTTAGAAACAGCTATGTTACTTACTTAAATAGTATGCTTTTCAGTATTCCTATTATCAGAATACAGAGTTCATTTGCCATTTTATTTTTATGATAGTTAACTACGAACTCTGTATCTTTGCTTTTGAGTAACTACCTTTTTCAAGTATTCGTTATTTTCTTTGTTTCAACCATTAAGTTCCAATGATAACACATAGTAGGATTGTATTATGAACATGATGTTTATGTAACAAAATTGTTAGCTATAACAATAGTTAGCTTACTTAGTTGTTTCTAAGTAAGTAATTCTACTATTATATTAATGGAAGTCAAACAGTAGCATTATTCCACATTATATTAATCAACAGTTGCTGAATAAAATTAATATGGCAGGTTTACGGTCCCAATACATGCCTTAGTAGAAAACTGGAATCCACTGTGCTATTCAGTTTAATGTGATAAGTCAGAGTGTAGATCTTACCCTTATTTTTCCTGTTGGACTTTAATATTTTGCGTAAACTGAAAAGTGTAGAGATGTAGTATCTTGCATGTCTTTCACTTTTGGACTGTGTGATATGACTAAAATTTCTATCTTCAACTGATCCCTTTGTATAGTTCCAATGAAATCTTAAATATATTGTAGCTATCATTGTATATATTGCTATAAAAAAAGAAAAAGACAGTTCAATGAATGAGATAATTAACTCCACAAATGAGTATCCATTATGATTAGGCACTCTTTTAGGCGTTTGGACAAAATTGGAGCAAAAGAAATAAACTGTTTTCATGGGATATATAGAATGAAAACAAAAATGAAAAAAAATCAATTTTAAATGGCTGTAAAGAGCATGAATGAAAATTAATTAGAAGGAAAAGAATAACAGAAGAGGTGTTTCTTTAAATAATAAAGGCTTTTCTCAAGCAAGAACATTTGAGCAGATATTCGAATGTAGTGAAGGAACAAAACAAGCTTCTGACTTACAAATATGAACCAAATAGGTTACTGCTCCTTTTCCACTTATGGGTGCAAAACTACCACACATCATTTTTTTTTTATCCTGTATAAATCAGTGTCATATGCCCCTATGTAGTCAATTGAATAAAGTACAAAAAATCATTTAGATTACCTAGTGATCTAAAAATTGTTGCCTACCCTGTTCATTGTGATGACTTTATGATAACACGTGCATGTCCCTTTGCCCCAAAGGTGACTTTCCAGGCATCCTGTAACCATGCACCGTTGAACAGTCTTGGAAACTAGATGTTCTGGCCCTTAACCATCTGCCTCATGAACAGGGACCTATATCCTTTCTGGATAACAGACACATGTCAGTGTACTTGATTTTTGAAAACAATATTTACATGGAGTCAAATTCAATAAGAGATTTATGTTCCTCATCTTTGTAAGATCCCTTTGAAATAGAAATTTCAAGGAGGAATGATTTGTGTCTAAAAACCTACCAGTACAGCCCTTAGAGTTGCAATGTTCAAGAAGCCTGATAATTATTTAAGAAGAAAATAAATTTACTTTCCATTTGCTTAAAAAAGGGAAACAATTTATCCTTAAAGTACACATTTTACAAGCATTAGCAGCTAATTTTCATCTTAAGCAACTTCAATTTTAGAAATAAATAATAGTATGACACAAATGAAAAAACAGAAAGAAAATAGTACTGTGCTTTTAAAGCTGCTATGCAGAATAAATGAAAAAACAAGTTAATAATTTCTCACTTTACTTTGAATAATACCACTGTTTATTTCATATGCCAATCTCAATGTATATATGGCTCAACAGTTAAGAACACTGGTTGTTCTTGCAGAAGACCTAGGTTCAAATCCCAGCACCCACATGGCAGCTAACAACTGTCCTTAACTCCAATCCCAGGGGATCCGATAGCTTCTTCTGATCTCTGAGGGCATTGCACAACAGGAATGAACTTACCTACATGCAGACAATACATGAATACACATAAAATAAAAAATAAATGATAAATAAAATTAAAAATATACATATATAAGATCAATTGGTCAGTCCAATTTTCTCCAACAAAAAAGAATCTCTTATTTTCTAAAACGTATTTTCTAAAATCTGAAATCTTGCATTTGGGTTTTCATACAATAAAAGTACAAATGTATTTGTTAAATTTGTATCTGTCAAGTAATATGCATCATGCATATGTTTTAAAAAACATCATGTTTGAGTCACATAAAATAACATTGTCCTTTTAAGCTCTGGATACTAATTAAAAATTTGTATTTTAGAAAAAAATTACTATCAAACTTTTGTGGCATTGTTTTCAACTAAATAAAATATTAAAAACAAAAAAGAGTTGTGAATATTTTCATTGAAAGGTAATACATTAAATTGGGCAGAGTAGTGAAGTGAGGTTCAGTAGGGGAAGGGACCTGAGTATCATCAAACTATATTGTATGAAAATCACAAAAATTCAATTAATGAATCTATAGGGCATCCTAACACTGGAAGCATATATCTAGCTGAGCCAAAAGTGCCCTTTTCTTAGATTTCTGTCTTTTTCTCACATAAACTTTTTCTAAGGAGTTCAAAATACTCATAATACAAAGATTGATAAAAAATGTGCTTCAATTAGCAATATCAACCCCTAAGTGACTGTGTTTCTAAAAATTCAGAGTTGGTTTGAAGTAAATAAAATATTTTGAGGTAAAGCCTTTTTATTCGTTAATGACACATGAAATACCAAAAAGCCACAGTGAAGTGTAGTGATTTATTGTAAAGGGACAGAAGAAGAATTGGCATTGATA